TACCACATACGACCATACCCATTGGAAAATTCGGGATCCCGTCCGCTCTCCCATAGACAAGCCAATGAGGGCCGGATTAGTAGTTGGGTCGGTGACGACCAGCGAATACCTGGTGTTGTATGTTTTTTGGTTGATTCTCGTCGTGTTTTGAGGTTTTTGTGCTCCACCACGGACAATCTCACGATATGTCCCCACTTTGCTGCTTACCCCGGCTTCACGACCCACATGTGATATCTTGCTGAACATGCTTTCAAATTGCGGTGAGAAGATCAGTTTGATTTCTTTGGGGGTATTTCCGTATGCTTCATTGATTTTGTATACGGTAGGGTGTTGATAGGAAGTGGAAAGTGACGGGCGTTTGTTTACCCTAGGCACGGCCTACTTTACGGTACACACACACACTGCGATGAAAGCACCGCATGCAGCATAACTCAATTGACATAATGAATGATATTCAATTATTTCTGCCTTGAATTTGAGTATTTTGGCCGAAGATCGGAGCTCTCTACTGCTATGCTTATTGCACAACAAGTTGACTAATAAGCGATATTCAACCGTCAACGGTCTTACGGGATGTCACTTCCCCCACGTCGCCCACATTACAAACTTACGCTTTCGGCGGAAATCGAACGGTCATTTCTCCAGTGTCTTAGTCAACGATCCAGTTTGCTTCCCCTCCTCCACGATGTTCAAGGGTCTTGGGGTCTTGGGGTCTTGACCGGGCGCGACTCGTGAGCAACCCAGGCGCGGGGGGATCGACTGGGAGTTTAGGTACTCGTAAAAGAAAAGGAATCATCCCCGCTCTTCCAATGCAGACTTTCAAGCACGAAGATGGATTAGTGGAAAACGAGGCCCGTCCGTCGTGTCGTGAGCAGCTTTGGTTCTCGAGACTTATGTGGACCACAGCGTTCACCAAGTGGAGGGCCCAAACCTGGAAGTTGTTCCTTTTCAGGGTCTTTCTCGAGACAGTGCCAATATCGTCGGTCGAGCGGTCGTGGGAACAGACGTGCATTGTTGTCTGCTGTCGCGTGCATACGTGTCTGCGACTTTTGACTCGTCGATCAGTCCATGCAACAATGTGTCAGGTGGTCACGAAAAGGCTGGATCATGTCCCACTGCAACTCCGAATCTGAATTCTTTTTTGGGGGAGAGAGATTTCTCAGATCCGAGGTTGGCGAGGGTCAGGCTGTCACGCCGTGCACATTGCGCAGAGGGTTTGTGGTTGCATTGTCTGGGGTACAGGCGGTTGTGGCAGGATGAACCCTCTTGCATCTCGAATGGGTCCTGAAGAAATGACGTCGATGTTTTGATGCGCGGCGAAGGGCAGGTACGACGGCAAAGCACCGTTGTGGAGCCTCTTTTCCCTCTGACGGTTTTCGGCATCGTCGTCAAAAACGGGGCCGTGTGCCCTCACGGAACCGTTGGATGGACGTTGCAAAACGCCTGTGCTGGCACACGGCAGCGGGATAGCGCGCCCGGAAACGAAAAAAGGCACGACAGTTCCACGAGGGTGTGCGAACCGCACCGGTGGATAGTTCGACCCGAGCCGGGACGATCTTCAACGGCTGAGAAGCCTCAAGGAAAGGAAATTTCCGATTGATACACTGTAAGGTAGTCTGTACTCTGTGACGGTAGACGGGCCTCAATTCGACGAATGCAACGCCCATCATGGTTGTCGTCTGTCGGCATACGGGATTGGTCGCAAAAGGCAAGATTTGGGGGCGGTCTCGTATGGTCCGAAAGCCCGACGACACGCCGATGATCCCTTCCCTCGGGACCAAGGGAATGGCCCACAAATCGAGTCAGCAAACGGTTTCACGTGCGTGGTCAGTCCTATGAAGTAGATGATGACTTGAACTCACGTTGAGAATTGTAAATAGGAGTGTAAGCGATACGTAAATCGCCTGTGACTCGAGAGGGCCAAGAGCAGCGTGCCGAGCGTGTAGTGTCATAGTACGGGATGGACAACGCGGCCCAGGATGGATTGTGTGTAGTTGTGCGGCGTCCAGTGCCTGCGAGACGTGGGGCTGGACGGTCGAATTAGAAATGGAATCTGTGAGGGAAGGGTCTGGAGTTGAGTGGTCCCTCAATCTCTCTCTGATCTCTGAGCCTCGCTCAGTTCCCATAGTTTTTCAGACGCGTACGACGCAGCAGGTCCATCCACAGATCCATACTTAGTGGGTGAGTAACTTCCTCAGCCTCTGAGAAATGAGAAGGAGGTAATCTGTGTAATCTGTCCATCTGGCAATCGCATTGGACAGCCCGTCCCTTCTGCAGAGAGTTCCCAGATTCCCTTCCCTTGGCTCCCGGAACCCATGCGCCAGACTCGGATAATCCTCATTTCAGGGGCGCAGGACTGAGGACAGAAATCTGTCCCTTGCTGCTCGTGCAGCCGCAAGAAAAGGAGGTCGTGTGCCCCGTCCTGTCTACGGTATCCTACGCGTTCCCCCAAAGGAGGCTCATAAACTCAACTACCATTCATTCAACCTCCAACCCGTTCTCGAACAACATTCGTAGCCCGGTACTCCGTACAGACACTTCATTCAGACCGACCACCTGACACTCCTTTTGTTCGATAAAGGACACCACCCACGACTCGACTGACACTCGGCCGCATGACCGTTTGTTGACCTTCCCGCTTCATGCTTGCCATTCCCATCTGCTCTTTTCACTCTTCTATCCCTGGTTCTTGAGGTACTTTACCATACCTTATCTACCGTATCGCTCCTTACCGTCCAAGCGGGTAGCCGCCTTAGCAGCAAACCATCTCACGTCCTTCATCGACTTCGTCATCGGCACTGGTCAGCACATTTACCAACCCCTTCAATCATTTCATCGCTCTACCGATACGGAGTGCTGCTGCGTGCTGTGTGCTGTATCGACGGGGCTCTGTGCCAAGGCAAAGGGTCAGGTAGATCTGCGCTACTGGGCATACTGCCTCAAATCCGTTAGGTGCTATCTGTACCCTAGGAGAAGATCGGACAGCGGCGTGGATTTTCAAGAGTTCTCTCTCTGCCTGTTGCATCCGTTTTCCCCATCGCGGCATCGTCTTTGCTGCACCGTTGCGTAGAAGCATCATTCAGGTGGATTCGCGCGCTACTACTGCGTACGGCCTGTACCCTTTTTGCCCCCTTGGCCAGCTGCACCCTGTACCGAAAGGATACGGGAAGCCTGAAGGAACAAGGTTGGCTTCCATTTCGCTGGTCATCTGCTTCTCATCGGGACCTACCCATCGCAGGAAGACACTTCCATCGAGCCGGGATTCCTGGACATCATTCTTGCCCTTCTATTGTACCTTGTCTCTTCGCTCTGTTCGAAAAGAATTGAGAGACATTGGCATTGGCATTGATCGAGAAGAAGAAGAGGAGAAGAAAGCGGAGACTGGAATTTGATCTCTGGAATTCTATTCTCAGGATACCTCAGTACAGAGTACCTACTTTCCCGTCTTCAGCTATTCTTGCACCTGTCGGCGGCGATCCACAATTTGCTGCTCAGCGCACAAGCTACAGCCTACAGCCTAAGGAAAGTGGGACCCCCAGCAATCGGTTTCCTTGGTCTTTCCCAAGTTCACAGGCTTCCTGGAAAGACCGTGTGTCACTGTGCAGCAGGTTGCATCGACGGCATCCACTCTTGGAAAGCACCAACCAAGCCGGACTCGCGCCGCCTGTCTGCTGCTCCTGCCGCAAGCCTGAGTTGAGCTGTCTCTTGCAGTTTCTCTGTCGCTCCCTCCCGTCCCTTCCCGCCTCTTTCCCTCTCCCCGTATCTCTCTTGCCTTGCCCTGCCAGCCTGTCTGCCTGGCACTTGCCTTGGCCTGGCCCCTCCCCCTTCTCCTTCCCTTCCAGCCCAATCCCATCCCGCGCCCGTCCTGTTCCAGGCCCCTCTGCCCCAGCAGTAACAGCAGCACCAATAGCAGGCCTCGATTTGCTCCCCAATCCCTTTTCCCAGGTTCCCCAAAATCCAACATTGGGACCAAGCACCTGCACCACCAAGAGCTACCTGCTCAGCGGTCCCACGGCCAGCCCGCCCGTCCGCATAGCTACCCCTTCCCAGTCCCACCAAAGTCTCTCACTGCAGTGCTGCACCAGGGAGTGGATTGGCCTGTCATCCAACGCTACCTTACCTCACCTTACAGAGTACCTACATGCCGATTCGGCCTACTCGCCGCAGCCAGTAACACGCACCAAGCACCAAGCAGAAAGCACCGTCACTTTTTCGACCCGACTCGACTCGACTCGCCGCCCGCCAGTTGTCGTCTTTTAGACATTCTTTTCACTTCCACCCCCCCAACCTTTTCAATTCCTCTTAGAGCGAAGGGTGCTGTCGCTAATCAGCCCCATAACCGCCCAAGATTCCCTCTTCAAACGGTAGACGTCTCCCGTCCAACATCCCATTGCGGACCCTGCAGTCCCGGCCACATCCAGACCAGCAAGAACAGGCGACGTCATTGCTAGCATCTGATCGGGACGACAACCACCACAGCGCCCGTGACCGTGATCACAACCACACCTCCTCTTCCACCTCCCACCGTCAACACCACAACTTCGACAACGACAAACACAATCACCACGGCCACCCGTCATCAGAGGACTCTCTCGGTTCCGAGTCCGATTCCTGGACCGACACTGGGGACATCGCCGACCTTATCGACGACGAAGACCCCCTTCGCACCCAGCTGCCCAGCGACGTTGATGACGAGCTGCTAGCCGGCGTTCACAAGAGACACCCCTCTCACAAGTCTTCCAAGAAGAAGCGTGTTCGCATTCAAGAGTCTCCTAGTCGCCGCGATAACTCACAAACCCGTCGTGGAGGTGTTAATAAGGAGGCAATCGAGGTTCCCGACATCGCCCAACCTCGTCCGACCCGCGCGCAGCGAGTCATCGGCGCCATCATGCCGGGCGGTTCCTCTATTCACGGCCTCACTGGCAAGGCCCTGATGTGCGTCCTGCCCTTCCGAAATTACCCTTATCGCGACATCGCTTGACTGACAATTTCTCCAACAGCTATTTCACGAGTATCTTCGTCTCCTTGGGAGTCTTTTTGTTCGGCTATGATCAGGGTGTCATGTCAGGCATCATCACGTACGTCCAATGCTCTGCCCGCTGCTCACCTTTTTGATCATTATAGCTAACTGATGGCATCCACAGAGGTGTCTACTTCCGTAACTACTTCCATCAGCCTTCCTCGGCCGAGATTGGTACCATGGTTGCCATCCTGGAGGTTGGTGCCTTTATCTCATCTCTGGTCGTTGGCAAGGTTGGCGATATCATCGGCCGACGCAAGACCATTCTATATGGCTCCATGATTTTCTTTGTCGGTGGTGCCTTGCAGACATTTGCCACTGGTATGCCCATGATGATGTTGGGCAGAATCATTGCTGGTCTGGGCGTTGGTGCTCTGTCTACCATCGTCCCTGTCTACCAGTCTGAGATCTCCCCTCCCCACAACCGTGGAAAGCTGGCCTGCATTGAGTTCTCCGGCAACATCATTGGCTACACCACCTCGGTGTGGGTCGACTACTTCTGCGGATTCATCGAAAGTGACATGTCATGGCGTGTTCCCCTTCTGATGCAGTGCGTGATGGGGGCCCTTCTGGGCTTTGGAAGCTTGGTCATTGTAGAATCTCCAAGGTTGGTCTTCTGCTTGCCGTGAATGTTTGTGTGCCCGATCCTGACTTGTGACCAGATGGCTCCTTGACAACGATCACGACGAAGAAGGTATCGTTGTCATTGCCAACCTCTACGGCAAGGGTGACATCCACAACCAAAAGGCCCGAGACGAGTATCGCGAAATTAAGATGAACGTGCTTCTCCAGCGACAGGAGGGTGAGAGGACATACGCCGAGATGTTCCGCAAGTACAGCACCCGTGTCTTCATTGCCATGTCAGCTCAGGGTCTCGCTCAGCTCAACGGCATCAACGTCATCAGCTACTATGCTCCCTACGTCTTTGAACAGGCAGGCTGGGTTGGTCATGACGCCGTCCTCATGGCTGGCGTGAACGGCATCACCTACCTTCTCTCGACCATTCCCCCATGGTACCTGGTTGACAGGTGGGGTCGCCGGCCAATCTTGCTGAGCGGTGCCATTGTCATGTGTGTTTCACTGTCAATGATCTCGTACTGGCTCTACCTCGACATCACCTACACACCCACATTGGTCGTCATCTTTGTCATGATCTACAACGCGGCGTTTGGATACTCATGGGGCCCGATTCCTTGGCTCTACCCTCCGGAGATCTTGCCCCTGAGCATTCGCTCCAAGGGTGCCAGTCTGTCAACCGCAACCAACTGGGCGTTCAACTGGCTCGTCGGAGAAATGACGCCTCTGCTCCAGGAGTGGATCAAGTGGCGGTTGTATCTTGTGCACGCCTTCTTCTGTGCAGTCAGTTTTATTGTTGGTAAGTTGCGTCCTTCGTACACGGGCTGGACTTTGAATGCTAACGCACCCACGCAGTATACTTCATCTACCCCGAGACCTGCGGTGTCCGCTTGGAGGAGATGGATTCGCTCTTTGGCGACGCCAGCACTGTTATTGGAACGCCATCTTTGCATGGCCGCGAGAACGACTCGCTCATGCCCGGATCGCCCATTGGGTCCGAATACCGGGGACGGCCTGGCAACTTTACTGCCAACAGCGCCATTCCTGGCCTGTCTCTCGACCCTCCCGACATTCCCGACGGCAAGGGCCAGGATGGTGAGGCCAGCAGCACCATTAGTGGATGGGTCTCCAGAGTTGTTGGTCGCACGCGAGACCAGAGCAGCAGCGGCAGCGGTAGATACGCTCCCCTTGGTAATCAGGATGATTGAGACGAGACCGGCGCACGAGAGAATCAATACGATTAGACGGTATTTTGCATATAGACGGCGGCAACTTTCTCCTCGGTGTCGCAGGCCTCCCGGACTGGATAGTAAAGAAACGGTTGAGCGCCTGGTTTGATTTTTTCCTTTCGACGTTTGAGACAGGTGGGAAAAAACGAGGATGACGTACCGGGTTTAAGAGAAGCGTTGCAGAACAAAGATGAGAGGGTCGCCGAACCTAGCGTCTGCGAGCACTTTTGCGTATTTTTTTTAGTTGAACGGGAGCTATTTTCATTGGACTGCGTTTGTACATAAAGTTTGTGCCCATTACTAGCGACTGCTGCATCATTGAAGTCGATTATGCAAAAAGAGTGCCGATCAAATTTGTGGCTCGCGAGCGCACGTATGCTGAAATGTGCCAATCTCTTCCCACTTCTTTGGATATCAGTCAGCATCTAGTGGTATGAGGATCTCTGCCTCTGTCAGTTGCGCCGTCTTCAGCAAAGGTCATCATCGTATGATAGTCAAAAGAACTGGGAACTAGCTGAGGACGAATACGGGTGGTCAAATACTGAGATTTGAGACTGAAGTTCAGCCAATACTAACCACACATTAGATCGATCGTGTTACCTACCCGTCTGCCCCTGATCGACAAAGATGCAAACCCCGCATTTGTCCTACTTGCTTACCTATTCGCCTCGATTTACCTAGTAAGCCAAAAAATGCTTTCCTCATGTATCTCTTTGTCTCTCATCTCACCTACTACCTCACACAAGCCTGGAGAAAGTGTCGACTTTATGACATATGATCAACGCTCGTCAACACAACGAACATCAATCTTTCGACAAGAGAAACAGCAGAAAGCCATAGACGAGAGAAAGGAGAAAGGAAAAGAAAAGAAAGAAAGGGGAGAAAAACACAATATGACCACGAAGAAGGAAAACACCCTCAAACTAGAGGAAGCGACACTAGACGACGTCCCCGCGCTGACGGAGACGTGGTTCGCGGCGTTTGCCGGCGACGAGGTGATATCCCGCCTGTGGCCCGATACTCCCGGTGTGAGGGCGTGGTGGGACGAGGCGAATGGCGGGGATATGGCGGCGAAGACGTTTCAGCGGTTTGTCAAGGTCGTTGATGTGAGCAGCGTTGCTACCGTGACCGGAACGGCGAAGGCGGAGGGAGGGGATAGGGGAGGGGGTAAAGGTGAAGAAGGGGGAGGCGGCAGGCCGAGGATTGCGGCGTGGGCCAAGTGGGATACGAGTACGCTGGCCGAGAGGGGCCGGCGGTATCCTCCTTGGGCGGGGGATATGCCTTCCGAGGTGTGTGATGTGTTCTTTGCTAGGGAGGAGGCGGAGAGGGGGCGGGTTATGGGTGATGAGAGGCATTATTGTGAGTTTTGTCTTTCTTCTGTCCTGGGTTTCTCCGTTGCTCCCTTCCGCTTTTATTGACCTACATTCTCCTGGGCGTCCTGAGATTCTTGAGATATTGTCCTGAGAGAATAAGGTGCTCTTGGTGATAAACATATGTAGTTGGTTTGCTGATTGGTATCTGGGGAGGAACATTCAGATCTCGACACGTTGGTCACGCATCCGGAATACCAGCGGCGGGGCGCGGCGTCCATGTTGCTCGCGTGGGGGTGTGCGCTTGCGGATGAGGATGGAGTCGCGGCGTATGTGGATGCTAGTAAGGCGGGTAAGGGGCTGTATGAGAGGTTTGGTTTTGTGGATGAGAGTTTGGATGGGGACGGGGATGTTGCGTCCATGGTGAGGCGGAGGCGATGATGGTTTTGGAGGGGGAATCTTGAATTCTTAGGATGTTGTTAGGGAGGGTAAGTTTTGCTGCATTTCTAGCGATGCTTTACAATCTCATGCCGTATTGATGTCAAGTATCGTTGTTTGATACCGGCCAAGTTATCGCTCAATTCATCACTCGCAAAGTTGATAGACGGCAAAAGCGGGAAAGTACACGCCGCCTATATCACAAACCGAGGGCATACCCGCGGTTTTACCAAGGTGTAGACATCTAGAGTTTTCCCAGAAACATATGAGAACGTGTAAATCATGGTACCTGTAGGATGTAGTCAAATTGTCGCTATATAGAGATCTAGCTAGCCACATACAATGTGTTTGGGACCGCTCAAACAGCTAATTTGGTACAGATATACTGATGTGAACAGAACCAGGACACGATGAAATAAAAGAATGGCTATATGACATCCACTACAAAAGATTATCAGAAAATTAAAAGGTATGGAGCTCCTTCTGGTCCACGTAAAGTGTGAATTCATGGTAGTCATAGGTGAGCCCGACCCAGTTTTCACCCGCCTGACAAGACGAGGAAACAGCACGGACGGCCCGGTATTCCATTTCATACATTCAAAGCGTTTAATCATCAACATAAAGGAATTACTCCTATGAACTGAAACCACCTATTTTGGTAAAAACTTTTTTCATCAATGGCGCCGCAACGGACCTCGACGTCCAGCGGAGGTAGTCCCAGAGCCAATCACGGAACCTTCTAGCTCGAAAGTGGGGCCGTTTGTTCACTGAACTTGATCATCCGCAGCATCATTGAGCAAACGTAGAACGGCTCATCTTCATCACTTATTCATTTCGCATCCTTGATACCCAAACGGTCTTTGCGCAACGAGATATCACCACAGAGGGAAGATCTCACCTAGCTACCACGCAATACAATATATCACCCAAACTACCCACCGGAAAGGAGGAACCCCTCACCAGTGCCAAACGACCCCTCCAAAACACCCCCACCATCGTCACCACCAGTCTCATCAGCAAACCACTAAAAACACCAAGAGGCACAAACGAGAACAAGATAGTAAAACCGCACACAATGTCCCACTGCCACGACGAGCACCACGACCACAGCCACGGCGGCCACGGCCACGACGAGCACGACCACTCGGACGACATCACGCCCGCGCTGCAGCACTCGCTGTACGGCCACATCAACTTTGACGAGGTGACGGCCCTCAACGAGGCGGCCATCGGCAGCGCGCGGGCCGTCGTCAAGAAGACGTGGGCCGAGAGGCTGGACGCCGAGCCCGAGGTCGTGAGCGACTGTGATGAGCAGTTGTTGGTTAACGTTCCGTGAGTGAACCACTACTTTCTTCATCGATTTACTCTTCATTTGGTGTTGTCTCATTTAGTGTGCTTGGGTCTATCATGAACATGAGATATTGTGCTATGTCATGCTTTACATTTCATATTTCACTCATTCTATCCATCTAATTCAGTACACATACACACACGTATATAAACCCTTCACCAAATACTTCTTCAATCCCCCCCCCCCTGCGCCCTGGAACACCACTAACAAACCCAAGCTTCACCGGCCAAGTAAAACTCCACGCCCTCCTCCTCCGCACCTCCGACTCCCCCTCCGCCCCGCGCACCCTCAAACTCTTCATCAACCGCGACGACCTCGACTTCGCCTCCGCCGAAGACGCGCACCCCACGCAGGAATTCGAGCTCTCGCGCACGGGGCAGGTCCAAGAGATCCCCGTCAAGCGGAGCCTCTTCGGGCGCGTCCAGCGCCTGACGCTGTTCTTTGAGGATAATTTCGGCGACGGCGACGAGGGCGAGACGAGGGTGTCGTATTTGGGGTTCAAGGGCGAGTGGATGCAGCTGGGGCGGGCGCCGGCGAATATTCTGTACGAGGCGGCGGCGAATCCTAGTGATCACAAGGTCAAGGGGACGGGGGTGAATGATGTTGGGAGCGGTATTGGAGGACGGCAGTGAGTAAAGAGGAGTGGGGTTGCTTGAAGATGATGGAGGTTGAGATGCAGAGACTTATCACGGATGCGAGATGAAGAGGAAAAAAAAGGTGAGAGGGCTTAAGTGAGTTTTGTTGAGAGTAATTTGAATCGAGCTGAGGAACAGCTCATCATCACCCCCCCAAAAAGGGGGGAATTATGGTACATCTCCGACACGACCGTAGCATTTATGAAAGACACAGGCGAAAATCTCCAATACAGTGATCCAAGGCGAACCTTTTGTTCCCATATCCCGGGTACCCTTAGAAACCAGACTTTCTCTTCTTTTTCTTCCCCGGCGACCGCATCCCGTGCCTCCCAGCCATGGGCTGCGACATGACGAGCGGCATCTGCGACGAGAAGATAGCCTGAGAAGACGGCACGGGCGGAAACTGGCTCGAGCCGATGATGGGCGGCGCAAGCTTGGGAAGAGGCTGCGTTGAGGGCGGCAACAGTGGTGCAAACTCGGACCCGGTGTTCGTCGCCGTCTGCATCTTCGTCTTCGTCGCGGGCCCGGACCCAGGCCCAGATGACTCGAACACGTCGTCCATCTCGCTCGTTCCCCACCCGTGCTGCGACGACGCGCCGAGGAACTGCGACTTGCGCTTGCGGCGGCGCGATTCGGCGCGGTGGCGGCGCTCGTTAAGGACGTCCATGTGCTTTGTGGAGGAGGCGAGGACGGAGGAGACGTAGCCTTCCGTGCTGACGCCGCGGGCTGTGGGCCAGTAGGCGAGGACTTTGTGTTGGCGGGCGGGGGGGTCTGCGGTGTTGATGTCTTCGGCGAGCATGCTTAGGCGCTGGAGAGCCGTGGTTGCGATTGTGGTGGGTGCGGGTGTCGTTGGTGTTGATGGTGCGGCGTCGGGGAAGCTCGAGGAGGGGCCGACGGAGGAGGACTGGGAGAATAGGGGCCCCGAGGAGGGAAAGGGGAACGATGAGGGGGGAACGTTGTCATCAAAGGGCTGGGAGCGGGCGCCTTTGGAAGGGGAGAAGGAGAGGCGGTGGCCGAGGGCTTGGACGCGTTTGGTTGGCGATAGAGAAATTCTCTGGCTGAGGGGCTGGCTCAGTTTGGTCGGAGAGAGTGAGAGTCGCTGGCTTGACGATAGTTGGCTACGCTTTGCGGGTGACGATGAGAAGCGCTGACTTGAGCGTTGGCTCGGCTGCCGGACTGGTAGTGGTGGAGGTTCGGGAACCCAGGTGGGGGACTCGTCTTCTCTGGTCGGGAGGTTCGCGTCGAGTACGGCCACACCAAAGAGGGATCGAGCGATGGCCTCGGCCGTCTCTGCTAGCACGACATTCCGTGATTGCTGTGCTCTAGGCGGGAGGCCCGCTGGACTCCACATCTCCTCGAGCTGGTCGCGGATGTCTGCGAGGGGTGACAATGTTTCCAAGCCGTGTAGAAATTGCGATGTGAGAGGTTGTGCAATGACACGATCGGTCTGCGCGTTCATCATCTCCTGGAAGCGAGAGTCCCACGCTGCTACTGCCTCATGGGAGACAGGAGGCGCCTCAAAGGTGTTTTCGTATTCGTGCCTAACACTAATGAGTGCATGAAAGCCATGATGGGAAGATCCAAACTTACAAAGTGTGCAGCGGGATGTACCCGCCCTCAGTCTCTAGACAGTTGACGGCTGCTTCCCGTATGGCTTCAAATACAGACAGAGGACCCTCAATGGTAGCTTGCTCTGACGCCATGATGACCGACTCGATGGAAACATTGACGCGGGATACGAGCTGATCCAGGTTCAGACCTCTAGGCCACCGCTGCTTAAGCTGTGCTTCCTCTTCTGCCTGCTCACTCTCCATGAGCTCCTGGTACCGATTGGCGCGGCGCTGCACCAGCTCATCCATATCACCCAGGCCATCGGGAACGACAAAAGTACCTTCGAAATGCTGAAGGAACTGTCGTCGCCTCTTGTTATGCGCCTGTCTGCGCCCGTCTCTTGACCACTCGCGACTGCTATCGGGAGCCACCACATCGAGATCAGGGCCGGCCGAGATCGCAAAGAGGCTCTGGCTCAAGCTGAGGTCCCTGCCAAGAACGAACAGCTGCTGGAATCGGATGTCATGATTGAGGTACTCTAAGCCTGGGCCCTTGGCTGTTGCAGTGGAGGGGTTTCTCAGGAAAGCCGGCACTGGGCACAAAGTCTGAAGCTTCGTCGCGTCGCCCGTGAGCTTCATGATATGGTGCTCAAACTGTGGCAATCCCGTGTCTTCAGGCGCGTAAAACCAGTAAACATCTACCTCTGGAGATCTGTCAGAGTAGATAAAAACTGTGCATTTTTCGTTTCCTGCTTCCGAACCGCCGTGATGCACGGTGAGCCTGAGAGCGTCCGCATCCGAGCCCCTGAGGTGTGCAAAGGATTGCAGAATGGAGAGTCCGCCTGCCTTGTTGGCTGTCGTCCCTGAAGACGACGTCTCGATCCAAAAGAAACCTGAGGTCGTGAGGATGAAGATCTGACTCCTGTTCAAGGGATTTGGCTTCACATCTAGTATGTGGTCTGGCTCGTCCGTCTTGAGTATGACCAAGCTCTTTCGAAACGTCGAGTCTTTGATATCAATGATCTCGAATTTTGCGCGGTTCCAGATGACGAGTTTTTTGGACCTCGACGTCAGGGCAGCCAGGTCGTTTCCTGCATCGACATCTTGCCCTTCGGGCACATCCCAAAGATCTACACCCGGGCCGGCCGCGCCGATCCACATCACGCCATGAGGCTCTGCGCGGAAAGCCGGCGAGTCCTCGTCGGGGAGCTGCTCCGTAACACCCAAGTGAATGTGGCCACAATGCCGGAGCTTTGGACGCAAGCCGCTGGATCCCACCATGTCTCGACCCTTGACATCCCAGACACTGTAGTAGCCGCACTCGTCTATGATGGCCAGCTGAGGCGGCTTTTTCTGCGAGCCATAGCTGAAAGACACATCAGAATGCGCAAAGCCTCCAGTCTGCTCCGAGGAGATGATGAGGACGGGTCTCGGGTTGATTCGAGATGGGCGCTCGATAGCCTGGTCAATCCCCGACGGGCGTTCTGAAACAGGAATCTTGTGGTAATCCGGCTGAAGAATGGTAGTCGAAGTCCGCTTCTGCACCAGCAGCCACCTCGTGGGTTCGAACCGGACCAAGCTCAGCGCAGGCTTGATCTGCAGAATCGGGGCTCCATCGCTCGACCACAAGACAGATTCTTCCTTGTCGTGCTGGTCGATGCTCAACATCCGAAGCGTTGGGCTCTCGTTCTCGCCCCATTGCCAGTTTGTCTCCTCAATCTTGGACAGACGGAGGAGCTCACCCGATTCGCCGGCAGCCGTGGCCAGTACGGGGACGGACACGACCCGCGTGTGGTTGGTGACATCTGCCATCTGACTGATTGTCATAAGTGGCTGAGTCGTCGGCGCGGCATCAGGCCGCATGAGCTGAGCGAGTCCTTCGTACAGAAAGCTGGAAGCTTCGGAGCTGCCCGCGAAAGCCTCTGGGTGAGCGTTGAAGAGCCATCGTCTTTGCACTCGCTGGGAATCCCAAAGTGTTGAAGAAGGCGCCAGCTCCGTAGAGCGAGAGGCAGGGTAAAGGGTCTCAGGAGCCTGTATGATACGAAGAGCTTGGGCTATCGGAAGGTCAGCAAATGTGAGAAGCTATACCCGGCCCGATGCACCCGCTCACCTTGACCTGGCACCCGGCTCATATGCAGTTGAGGTGGTCCATCTTCAATTCCTTCATGAGGAATAATAGTGATTTTTGGGGGGCCATATAAGCGGCTTGTCTCTTCCCGTGCGTCAGCCATTAGACCCGTTCGTTTCCCGTAAGTCTAAGTAGTGTATTCGTGGGAAACTGGGCATATCGTGAGAGAGCGGTGGGGTGTGCTTCATCATGCGAAGAAAGATGGAAAAGCCTGGCGGGCTATGAACGATCCGTGGTCATGCGTGGAAGGGTGCCTAGCTAGTAGTATGGAAACAACAACAACAATGAGGTACGCAGCTGTCAGAAAACATGAGCTGACTGTCGCAGCAAATTCGAGGTCATGACGATAAAGCAAAGAGTGAGACAGCGACGGAAGACTGAACGGACTAAGAAGGTGAAAAAGTTCGGTCAGTCGCGGCTTCATACAAAAAAAAGATGGGCCCCATTTCCGGTAGTTGCCCACTTTAGCCCAGTCAACCCCTGCCATTAGTTCGCCCGGCGCGTCGGGGCCACTCTTCAGACGCGTTTTCCTAATAGGCAACTTCGGCCCCTGCCTACTCTCTACTCCGTCCGACTAAGACATCCGCCTCGAGCACCTCACAGGCTGCCGTTATTCACTGAAGTTGATTAGCCCCGCTCCCGTCAAACAAAGCGACGTCCATTCAATAACCTTCATCTCACTCATACAATCTCGCAATCAGCAATAAACACCATACGGAAATGCCCGCCGACGACCGAAGCGGGAAGCAGGCCGCGGCCCAACAGGCTGTCGACATCTTGCATGAGATCTCTACCATCCTCGTCAGTTGCGACGCCCACCTACTACCATCCTCTCAAAATCCCACTCCATGCTAACGTGACCATTTGAAAAAGAACTGCCACCTGGACCGCCGCACCCTGTCGATCTGCATCTCCATGATCGAGAATGGCGTGAACCCAGAAGCTCTTGCCGTAAGAATAATACTTTATCCATCGAGCCCAAAGTAGACATGACACTGACTAGACTATCGCAATAGACCGTTGTGAAGGAGCTTAGAAAGGAATCCCAGGAGGTCGACGCCCAAATTGCATCGCGGAGGCGTCAATAAGCGTTTGTCTCGAGATTGCAGAGTCTGCTATGAAAGTTATGACAAAGGGCAAGAAGGATGGGGGATTCATGGACAATAGGCGTTTCAGGTCAGGCATTTTGCGTTGCTTGTCATTCTTAGTTTTTGTCTATTATGGAAACGTAAATAAGGCCCAGTTTCCGAGGGCTACGAGAAAGAACCCAGCAGTGCCATCCGAGGCTGACAAACTCTGCTATCCTAAAAACGCCGACTAACCCGTACCCAACCAGCTAGTAATATGCCCACGATGACCTTGACGACCCGTATGTCCAAACCATGCGACCATCGCAAAAACCCAGTGCGCCAATCTTATATCCGTCTCTTGCAGATGCACCTCATCGTTTACATCATGATTGCATCGTAGCCGAGGTTACCGATGTCCGATGAGCATGATCTCGTTCTCATAGTCATCATCATCGTCATCGTCATCGTCCTCTCCCTCCGAGTCTTCTTCGTCCACGTCTGTCGACATGGTGTCGCTGTCCGAGTCACCATGACCCCGTCCCCATAAGTTGAGAATGTCATTCTCTGATTCGTCTTCTTCTTCCTCGATGGCAGCATTTGGTGCGTTTGGTGGTGGCATACCAGGTGTGACTGCTGGCGAGGCTGACCTGGCAAAGCGATCCAACATTAGATGACGTGCCTCGGGACCAGCATGAGACGAATGTCGTCGCCTGCCGACCTGCGGTATGTCCATTCCTGCCGGAGCAGCCGCCGCTTGTGTCGTTACGGGGGTAGGAAGCGCAGGAGATAGAAGAGCCGGCGTGACTGCTGCCGGCGTGACGGGTACGTGATTGGCGTGTGTCGCGTGCGTCTCTTCTCTTCCGCCGCTGATCTGAATTTCTACCGTGTTGTAAGAAGTGCAAATCGCGCACTTTAGACCGAGCCAGTGGTAAGGGACGGAACTCTTCCCGCTACAGTCGTTACACAAGATTGTGGCGCGGGTGTCCCTGAATTCAGGGGGCATTGGCTGGGCAAGTATAGCCAGCTCTAATTGGCGGAATTGGCTCTGCATGTTGAGCAAACTCTTGTTGCAAATGGGACATTTGTATGATCTCAGCATGTGCTCGTCGTAGCACTTCTGGTGAATGCTGTGACCACACCCCATAAACACGACTGGCTTGGGAGATGTAAACATGTACTCTCCGCAGATAGGACAGTCACAGTCCGTTGAGCGTTCGATACATTTGTGTGACTGTTGAATAGATATCGATATGCATGCGCAACATTTCTAAAACCACATGTTAGCGGCCGTCCAAGAAACACTCTGGCTTCAGATCATTCAATTACCTTGCAATGGAAGAAGTCCTTCCCGATGCCTCTTCCTCGTCGGCAAATACCGCAGTCGTTACAATGGTAAATGGGATTGGATGGATGGTCATCCCACAGTTTGCACATGTTGCAGTAGTAACGGGCTGCAGTCTCCCCGCAGTTCACGCAAACGTCTGATGCTTTCTGGGGCGTGGCGCAAAGCATGCAGAGCATATTCTTGGTTTCCTTCCTGACAAGAGTGTGATCCTCGACTGCGTCATGGCAAAAACGACAAGTATACCACTTGGCGCAAGTCGAGCACTGCAGCTTGACATTGCGGCGGTAATGTTGGCAGCCAAGAATCACAGCACCCTCGGGTTCTTCTCTTGTAGCAAGCTTTGCGGCCGCGTACGTGGGCCGAACATCGTCGGCGGTCAGGATAAACTTTTCTGGCGAGGACGGCTCCCCTATCGCATGTTGCCAAAACTTTAACGACTCGAGAGGTGCAATCGGGACTGACTGTTCCCATGCTTCCCCTGCTGCTATCACGCTGGCTGCCGGCGCGTTACCTTGGCGGGGAGCGTCTCGAGACTTGCGGTAACCCTCCATCAAAGCCTCATGCATAAGCCGGGCCTTGTCGTCTGCTGCGATATCTTGTGACTGGATGTCGAGTAGACGCTTTCGCATCGCACCCATGCCATCGTCGGCGGGTAGAGATTCCCGTGTTGTAGGTGGCATCGCGGCCATCGTGTATGATGGGGGGCTCTGAATTAGGGGAGCCGGAGACTGAGGGTGCTCGTCGTCGACTGTCGGCGGTAGTGTCGCAATGTCGAGTGATCGTGCCGGAGTGGATTCGGGTGGCGCAACAATCGCATGCCGAGTTGCGGGACTATTCACGTCGCTCGGGACGGCGACAGGGTCGGACGAAGAGTCCCGTTCGGAGACAAAGGTTGATCTCGAGATCTCTGAAAAGCGTCGAGCTTGTCGGAGGACCGGGTTGATGAGGAAGTCAGACACCAGAGACGACATTGAGAGGTAGGAGGTATCGGCGGAGATGTGAGTCGGGGGACCGAGCCGGATTTGTAGAAAGTAACGCGCAGCAGGGGAGGTCTGCTACATCCAGGGCGACAAGATCGAGAGGAGGGGAGGCGAGGATTGGATGGTCGGGGCACCGCGGGAAGGATATTTGAAGTAGCGGTGGTAATGGTGGTCGGAGTGGTGGTGGTGGTTGTAGTAGTGTGGTGGTGGTCGGTGGTGGTAGATGTGGTACGGGACCGGACGATTGGATGCAGGAGCGATGACATAAGACGGGCGAGACCCCTAATGCAATCCGCTCTTTCTCGTCGGCGGCGTCGGCGGAGACGGTTCAGATCCAGAATGGTGGACGCAGTGGGGGTTTTCTTTTGGAAAGAGAAACCTGAGGCTTGATTTGAGTCCAGATCAGGTGTCAGAGAGTCTCTGGGACATGTACATTTGCACCGCAATGGGGCGATTGTTAGCAATGATTGTCTGTGCCGACAATGTGTTATGGATCAGACCGGGACCAGCCAAGGAGGGGGGAAACACTACGGAGTGGACGAGAGAGTAGGGACGAAAAAAGACATGTGATGCAGCTGTCTGGCGTTTCCGCATGCGGGCTTCAGCATGCTGCAGAGCGAGAGAGAGGCTTGACTCGGCGGGGCAGATGGGCCGCGCCCAGGCGATGGTGACTTAGATTGGTGACTGGTCCAGCGTCTGAGGTGAACCGGGAGAGAGAGAGAGTGTGGGCAGAAGCAGTGACCCCCTTTTCTTTTTCCCCCTTCTCTGAAGAAACACCGCGATGGCGGACTCCCGGCGACAAATCAGGTCTTCCCGGCCTTTACTTCTTTGGGTGAGAAGTATGTAGGCAAGCAGGTGACTGATGCCAGTAAAGGCTTTGCGCTCCGTCATACAAGACAGAAGAAGTAACAAGCACTTTCTCGTTCGGTTGTGGCGGCCGGTGAGAGTACTCCTTCGTCCCGTGCAACTATGCTCTCCGGAGGCTGCTCTACCTTGCTGGAGAACCACCGCATCTGCGGGCAATCTACACGGCGCAGGCCTCCACCACCGTCGACTTCCCCGAATCGCCGAGATCGAGTCCACACGGCGGCCGATGGTCTCCTTCTCTGGGCCGATGGGATTGAATGGAGGATGCGCACTGGCATTTCCGGTTAGCTCCGAAAGCGGGGGCTTATTGCGCGGCCCGGAAGGGTTAGCGCAGTCAGAAACCACGGCTGAGCCACAGCTGTCATGAAGACAGAACGTTGAGCGGTTTGCATCTTTCGTAGCTGTGGCCTGTGTGTTTGTCCATGGAAGAAAAGAAAAGTTGACAAGTGTCGTGTCGTCTGGTCTTTGCTATGGCGCTAGGATAGTAATTGTGGACGAAACTGAACGCCTCATAAGGTGGCTGCAGGCGCGTCCAAGCTGTATTGCTCCCGATGCTTTGGATGCCAGGCTGAAGAAGATGATGCTGCTCTATATCCCGTGTGGAAGGTAAGGTGTAAATAAGGTATGATCGTGAATGGTAGCTTGCAGGGAATTTGAGAATAGGTATGATGTATCCGTAGTCTTGAATGTCACGATGTCGGAACCGAATATAGGCAGACGTAAGGTGAATGCAAGGAGTGGGATTCCAGGTTCCATCGACATTGACATTGATCGTCGAGAGCGAGAGCCGCGTGGGGATCCCATCTGTCGGACCTCAGGGGTAGGCAGCTGTAAGGTAAGGTAGCCTGTGGGGGCAGGGGGTAACAGAGGGGCTATTTGGGGTCCTTCCCGGGCCATTCAGGCCATTCCATCGAGAGGACCTGCGCGGCCTGCCCAAGGTATGCGGCGTAAGAAATCCGCTTTGAGGCCACTTAAGGCCGCTTAAGGACAGCTGAGCCAATAGATCACGGCCATGGAACCCAGCTTGCTAGGGACAAGATTCGCGTAAAGTGTGGTCGGAGTGGAAAGGGAGGGATACCGTGTCTGTTGGTGCATAGGTGGCATTTATTTCGTGTTGCCGCAAGGGGGTTCCAAAGGGTCGAAGGGTGCTCTCTCCTACCCAGAATCCCAGCTCCCAGCTCCTCCCGATTTAGTTCAGACCTCACCAAAAAATTCCCACCTGGCCAAAGGGCACCTCCATATTAATTGCATGATTCCCTGGTAATTCTGGGTGCCTTTTCTCAGCTTTCCCTTTCTCTCTTCTTCCCCCCCAGCTGACTGACCTCACCTTCTTTTTCATGAGCTGGTTTGGTTTGCAGAACACCTGTGCCTCAAGAGAAACCCGCTGATTCTCTTTTTGCGCGGCTTCTCTTTACCTTCTTCAATTCTCCCACATTTTCTTGCTCCCGGGCATTTTTTTTTTGAGTCTTGACTCGTCCGATCACTAACCAGGAGCTCAGAGCTCCTGTTCCTGGAGCTTGACTTCCACTCTTCCTGCGCACACCCCCTTGAAGCCTGCCTTCATCAACGCATTCGGTCATCCCATTTCGAGAGTCAGTCTCTACTCCCGTCCAACCCATTCCATACGCCGCCTTTCCGTTTGCTGACTGGTCTCACCAACAGCCATGGCTACTGAAAAGCCCATTGTCGCGTCCGGCGCGGACGTGGGCGATGGCGTCAGACGACGAGCCGTCCCCCAGGGCCAGTCCGTCCCCATAACGGCTGCCCCTGAAATCGACGACAAGAAGCAGCTTGTCAAGAAGGTAAGCGCCTCCCTCTCTACACCATCACTAGCTTTGGTGCACCTATTCGGGGACTGACGTTCATCTTTTTCCTCAGCAGAGCTCTTTCCTCGATCAATGGGAGCCCATCATCGCCCCCATCATCTTCACGGCCGTCGCCATCTTCACCCGACTCTGGAGGATTGGCATCAGCGACATCGTTACCTGGGACGAGGCCCACTTTGGAAAGTTCGGATCTCATTACATCAAGCATGAATACTACTTCGACGTTCACCCGCCCTTGGGCAAGATGCTCGTTGGCCTCTCCGGTGTTCTCGCTGGCTACAACGGATCTTTCGAGTTCAAGTCTGGAGAAAAATACCCCGAGGATGTCGACTACACCTTCATGAGAGCTTTCAACGCCCTCTTCGGTATTCTCTGCATCCCCATGGCCTACTACACTGCCCGCGAGCTGAACCTCAGACGTCCCGCTGTCTGGCTTGTTACCCTCATGGTCCTTTGCGAGAACTCGTACACCACCATCAGCCGCTTCATCCTTCTCGACTCGATGCTGCTCTTCGGAACTGTTGCGACTGTTCTCTGCTGGGCCAAGTTCCACAACCAGCGCAACGATGCTTTCGAGCCCGAGTGGTTCTTCTGGCTGTTCATGACTGGTCTCAGCATTGGCTGCGTATGCAGTGTCAAGCTCGTCGGTCTCTTCGTCACCTCCCTCGTCGGCCTGTACACCATTGAGGATCTCTGGACCAAGTTCGGCAACACCAAGATGCCCGTCACCACACTGGGCGCCCACGTTGTCACTCGCGTCGTTGGCCTCATTATCGTTCCGTTCCTGGTCTACATGCTCTCTTTCGCCCTCCACTTTGCCATTCTGGACCACACTGGTCCCGGTGATGCGCAAATGAGCTCTTTGTTCCAGGCAAACTTGAAGGGCACCGAGGTCGGCAAGAACAGCCCCTTGGAAATCGCCTACGGATCGCGCGCGACCATCAAGAACATGGGATACGGTGGTGGCCTCTTGCACTCCCACGTCCAGACATACCCCGAGGGCTCTAATCAGCAGCAGGTCACCTGCTACCACCACAAGGATGCCAACAACGACTGGTTCTTCTACCCTAACCGTGCGGACGCGGACTACGACGCCGAAGCCCCTCCCCGATTCATTGGCGACGGCGAGACGATCCGTCTCATCCACGCCCAGACCGGCCGCAACCTTCACTCCCACGAGATCGCTGCTCCTATGACCAAGTCCGATAAGGAAGTTTCCAGCTACGGCAACTTGACTATTGGTGACGACAAGGACCACTGGACTGTCGAGGTCGTTCGTGATGTCGCCTCCCGTGATCGCAGCAGAATCCGCACTCTGACGACGGCATTCCGCTTGAGACACCCGGTCCTTGGCTGCTACCTCCGCGCCGGTAACGTTAACCTGCCTCAGTGGGGTTTCAAGCAGATTGAGGTGACCTGCACCAAGACCAACAACCCCAGAGACTCGTACACCCACTGGAACGTCGAGGCACACTGGAACGAGAAGCGTGAGTCAAAGCTATGAATCCTGTCTATCTTGTTCAGCTTGCTAACTGGCATAGTTCCGCCTGGTGACCCTGGCTCTTACAAGTCCCCCTTCCTCCACGACTTCATCCACCTCAACGTTGCCATGATGACCTCCAACAACGCCCTTGTGCCCGACCCCGATAAGCAAGACGACCTGGCCTCGCAATGGTGGCAGTGGCCCATTCTCAATGTTGGTCTGCGCATGTGTGGCTGGGATGACAACATTGTCAAGTACTTCCTCCTCGGCAACCCTCTGGTCTACTGGGGCTCTACCGCCGGCCTGGGTGTTTTCGGGCTCGTCGTTGTCTGGTACTTGATCCGCTGGCAACGCGGCTACAACGACCTGAACTCGAAGGAGATTGACCAGATCCACTACGCCGGCCTGTACCCCGTAGCTGGCTGGTTTCTTCACTACCTCCCCTTCGTCGTCATGGCCCGTGTCACCTACGTCCACCACTACTACCCTGCGCTGTACTTCGCTATCCTTACTTTTGGCTTTTTGGCCGATTGGTTCCTCCGCAACAAGAACCAGGTCTTCCAGTATGGAGTGTACGGCGTCCTGTACGCGACCATCATTGGTCTCTACATCCTCTTCAGCCCCATTTGCTTCGGCATGACGGGCAACAACAAGCAGTACAGCTACTTGAAGTGGTTCGACAGCTGGAGAATCTCTGACTAAATCTGACAAAGAGTCAAACCAAAGATTGTATTAGAACGATTCCTCCACGGGGAATCATGCACTTGAACGGCCGAGGTTTTTTACGACTCGGCTTTTCTACCCAACTCTTTCTGTCTCTGTAGGGATATGGGCGATAAAAACGGTGGCAAGATGGGGGCCTTTCCAGCTTTGGGGAAAGCCAAAACTGACGGGATAACAACTTCCGTACATAATGCAATATGAAATCTGTTCCTTGTTCCTACTATTTCCTTCTCTCATCGTGAGTTGACCAGCCCATTGACCATACATTATAATTACAAAAAAAGTAGTAGTACAAAGGAGGTTGCTGAATGCGAAAGAAGGAAGAAGAAAAAAGCTGCTGCTAATGGTCGTTTGGGTATCACTATCCTTCTCGTGTATGCTTTTGTTTGTGGTTCGTTTCGCGGCACATCTAACAACAGCCGCCGGCGGAGCCCTTATTGGCGTCACCCCCTATCCTCACTTGCTTATTGCCCCCCGCACTCGGCCCCTTGACGCCAGACCTCCGATCATTGAGGTCGTATTTCCCGGCCTGGATGTTATTGTATATCCTCTCGGCGACGCGCATAAACGCCTTTTCGACGTTCTCGCCGCTCTTTGCGCTCGTCTCGACGTACTCGAAGACGCCATTCCTCCTGGCCCACTCCTCGGCCTCGTCCTTTGTCACCTCGCGCTTGTTGTTGCCGTCCCCGTCCTCGCCCTGGGTGAGGTCGGCCTTGTTGCCGACGAGGATGACGACAATGTCGGGCTCGGCGATCTGGCGCAGGTCGTTGAGCCAGTCGGTCACGTGCTGGAAGGTTTGTTTGCGGCTGAGGTCGAAGACGAGGAGGGCGCCGCTGGCGCCGCGGAAGTAGGAGCGCGTGACGGATTTGTAAGTTTCCTGGCCGGCGGTGTCCCAGAGGGAGAGCTTCATGTGCTTCTGGGGCCCTTGGTCTGCGGCGGTGGCCGAAATACGCGGGGGTTCGGGGAGGCCGGCGGAGGATGCGCTGCCGTCCGGGTTCGTCTTTGGTTCCGGGGCCGGGGGAGGGGGTGGAAGAGTGTTGGGGGGGCCGACGGGGACGATGCGGGAGCCGAACTCGACGCCGATTGTCACGTCGTGGTGCGGGGAGAAGCGGCCTTCGCAGAGGCGGATGGTGAGGGAGGATTTGCCGCAGCCCGAGTCGCCGATGCAGACGAGTTTAGCGATGTAGTCCCATGGTGGAGACGACATGGCCCTTTGCGGTCTGTGACTTCGCGTGAGGTGGGAGGAGGTGGGAGGAGGAGGAGGAAGTATGTGCGTGTGAGCGCGGTTCGATGCAGAGGTCTGTGGTTTTTCGTTTCCAGGCAGATAGATAGCTGCGCCGTTC